TACTGTACAAATGCCCGATATAAATCGTTGTAAGGAGGAAGGAGGTTCTATGTTGGGTGAAGGAGGAATGTTACTCATATTTGATGTCATTGGAGGTGGTGGAAACATAAAAAATGGTGGTGGATAAATATAATTCTGAGAATTTTCACCGGTAAGAGATGAATGATTTTACAATAAATTATAATAATACTGATAATTAAATTGATTGGGATCCAAATTGAAGGAGAAAAAAAATGAGGAAATGAAGGAAATGTGAAATTTGTTTACCATTGATAGATATTTTATAGTGTAAAAATAAGCTTCAACGAAAAAAAAATGTAACTGTTACTTTGCTCCTTCAACGGTCGACTTTGTAATAGTCAAATTATTTTCTCAACATTCACTTTGCTACCTTGACTCTCATTTCTCCATCTTTATTCTCCATTTTCTTTTTTCAATATCACCCATCTTCCTCTCCTCACCTCTCATTCTCCATATCTTCTCTCTCTCAGATCTGCCTCCGCGTTCGCCTTTGCGACCACTTCCCCTGTGTTCGCTGGTTCCGCGACTGCTGCCACCGCAACTGCTACCTCCATGGTCGTTGCATAGCGGTTTTTATTGCGTTAATAATTTTGAAATTGATTCTAGTGAGAATATATTTTTGATTGCTAAAAAATTATGGATCGAAGAAGATGAATTTGTTTTGTTTATTGATTTGGTTTTGTCCACGTTGTGCTTGCATTTTGTTCATTTTGTTTGTTGGTTGTGTGTGTTTGTTTGATGATGAATGATTCATTATGGTTCCTTGCAGTATGGTTCCTATGTTTGATGATTTTTCGGTTTGGATTTGATTTGTTGTAACTGCTAAAAAAAATGAAAATAATAATATTTTATTTGAAGCAACGATTGCTTCTTCAAACATTTTTCTGCTGAGATGGAGAATCCTATATTTGATTTGTTGTAACTGCTGAAGAAAATGAAAATAATAATATTTTATTTGAAGCAACGATTGCTTCTTCAAACATTTTTCTGCTGAGATGGAGAATCCTATGTGCAACGTAATTTCCTCCAATAGAATAGTTGCTTGAAGCAACTGAATTTTTTTTTTCAAGTATCCTACAGTGGAGATGCTTTAAGACTAACTAAATCAAGTACCAAAAATGATTGAAGCAAACATTAAAACTAATCGAGTATTATGACTGACTAATATCAGTACATTGAGAGATCAATACAAAATATGATTTGGGACTCAGAGCGTGACTTGATTTTTAATTCGCTATTGCTCAATCCTTATGATTTGATTAATAATTCTGTATAATTTGAGACTCTAAGATAACTTGGTAAATGTTTTTTCCTTAAATATTAAACTATGCATTTGTAAGTATGAAGTAATTTAAATTGTAAAACTATAAATGGCTCGTTAAATAAATTGTAATTTGTTTAATAAAATGTACTTCTCGATCTTAAGAAATTTTGACTTTAAGAAGAGATGTATTTATTAAATAAAATGTTATTTTAAACTCTATTTATTGATGTTCAAACCTAAATTAACTTGAAGTTTTGTATATATAAAAAATCTAACCAAAGTTTTCATTAAGTCATGCACATTTTTCAAATTATACAAAAACATTCACTACAAGAAATTTTAATATTAGCCATTATCCAGGATTCAAACCCAAGACCTTAGAATTAGAGGTCGATACTCCACCCACTAAACTACCAGAATTTTTTGATAATAATTTACAAATAAATTATATTTATATACAATTATATTTATATACAAATATATTTATATATTTATATATTTATATATAATTAAATATTTTTATATATTATATATAATTAAATATTTAATTTTTTAAATTATTTAATTTAAGAAATTATTATAAATTAATCTAATTATGATTAAATTAAATTATTAAATAAAAAATATTTAATTTTTTAATTAGGTGAATATTTACTAATTGTTAATTTACCGACGGAAATATCCGTCGATAATTTACAGATGAATTTACCGACGGATATATCCGTCAGTAATTAATTGTTAATTTATCGACGGATTTACCGACGAATATATCCGTTGGTAAGATCAAATTCCACAAATATTTTATATCCATCGGTAATTTCCGTCAATAATAATTATTTTCTGACAGTTACAAATCCGTCGGTAAATATCCGTCGGTAATAGGCGATTTTCTTGTAGTGATTCACCAAATCATTACGACTAAACACTACCAAAACAAGTTCCAAGTAATGAAGTAATGTGTAGATAGATAAACAGAAACCAACTCCCAAGTTTAATCAAGTCATGTCGGGTTCCTAAATCATATAAAAAATGCATTTTGGATTTGGTGTTCCATAATATATTTTCAGATTAGCTTTTCCAGAAACACATTTCAAAACACTCAATTCAGAATGCATTTTCAGATTGACTTTTTTGGAAATACATTCCAAACCAGCCAATCCGAAATGCATTTATGGATTGGCTTTTTCGAATTCGATGTTCCACAAAAACCTTTCCTAGAATGTATTTCGGATTGGTGTTTCAGAATGTCACTACTACAAAATATGTTTTCAACATCGCCATTTAACGTCGGTTAAAGCTGAGCCGACGTTAAATACACTTTCAACGTCGTGAACCGACGTTGAATGTGTTTTCACCCAAAAATTCTCTTAAGTTAAAGAATTGTCACTAACAGGATTCAAACTCAGTATTTTAGAGTTGAAAGTCGATACTCTAACCACTAAACTACTGTAATTTTCTCGATAATAATTTACAAATTAATTATATTTATATACAAATAAATATATATCCGTGTAAATATATATTTATTTATATATATTTTCTGGAAAGTGTTTTTATTTTTTTTCAGCCAAAAATTTACTTAAGTTAGAGAATTGTCACTGACAGGATTTAAACCCAATATTTTAGAGTTGAAAGTTGATACTCCAACCACTAAACTACTGTAATTTTCCGATAATAACTTACAAATAAATTATATTTATATACAAATAAATATATATCCAGTGTAAATATATAAATATATAAATACAAATATATTTATATATTTTGATATATTTATATAATTATATATTTATGTGCTGGATGTGAGGGCACGCTCGAAGGTGAAAGTGTGTGTCGAGTGGGTTTTCAAAATTTAATGCCAAATTTGTGAGCGGATCTCTTTATATGAGTTTGTAATTTAATGACATAATATATATATATATATATATATATATATATATATATATATAAATATATATAAATATATCAATGAAAATTTTCGATTTGAAAGTCTTAACCGACGTTGAAAGTCGGGACTTTCAACGTCGTCGGCTCTGAACCGCAGTTGAAGGCCTTCCAGAACCGACGTGGAAAGCCTTATTTGTAGTAGTGCGTTTCTAGAAAGGTCAATCTAAAATGCATGTCGAAGATGAAAATGAAGATAAGTGTAAGGATAAAATGAGAAATTTGTGACTGATATAACTACTAAAACTAAATTCTTAAAATGCAAGATTATTGTTCAACAAAAATAAAAAAAATTCAAAAATGAACTAGAAAGAGAACCGTGGAAGTTTTTTATTAATTTTTTTTCCAATACAAACAATTAAAGAAATGTCTGATCGATATAATTACGAAAACTAAATTATTAAAATATAAGAATATTACTTAAAGCTATTTAGCAAATAAAAAAATAAACTTAAAAGAGTATAGTTGAATTTTTTATTAAAAAAAATTGGACTTTGTATGAAAAGAAGTTCCATATCATACTAATTGTTGAGATATTAGAGAATTAAATTCAATATTAGCATTTATAATAATTTTAATTCTAAAAATTGAATTTTGGATTACATTAATCTATATCTTCTAGTATGGGTAATTTTTTAAATAATCTTTAATATAAACTTGAATTGATAATTAAATAAACTTTCTCTAAATGATATTATTAATTGGTAATTAATTTAACAGATAAAAAGTTGAATTTTGAGATCTAAAACTAATATATATTAATAAACTCAAGATAACACGTATTACAAAAAATTTAGGTTATTAATTAAATTTAGATAAATAGTATTTTTATCTTTAAATTTAAAATAATTTATATCAATCTATTAAATTTAATAAGATAAGACTTTAATCCATGAATATTAAATTTAAAAGACTAAAAATAATTTTAATTTTTCAAAAATTTATGATTTAAGAACTAAATTTTTTAATTTTAATTTAATATAAGAGACTGTTTATAAGAAAGAATAAATTTTAAAGGTTATTGATTAGGTTGAAAATCAAAATACAGTTCTCAATGTGCAGAAACCAACAAATTTTGAGGATACACTGAGGTAACATTTAAAACTTACGTGCAAATTTACAATTTATAAAAAAAATAAAGTGAAAAATCAATTAATTTTTTTTTTCTTATGGTTACGGAACTTTTCTAAACTGAAGAAAGTTGATGGAAAGATTATTTATCATAGTTTTCAATGATCTTGCCAGAACTAGTTGCAACCAATATCTTCTTAACAGACATAAAATGATAGAAAAGATCACAAGTTATGTATGAATAATATGGATTTTTGTGAAGGAAAATAAGATATTATTAATAAATAATAAAAAATATAATATTTAAAAAAAATTAAAATTATAAATATAAAATAATTTAACAATTATTAAATTTAAAGACGAAAATTTATTTCATAAACATGTTACTTTATTAAAAGTTCCGGTGAGTTAAATATTTTTTTTATAAAACAATTATTTTTTTAAGACTTCTAAAATAAATTATTTGACTTTTTATAAGATGTTTTCTAATCTTTATATAATTTTAAATTTATTTTCGTTAATTATGAAAAATATTTGTGTTTTATTAATAAATATTTTTTAAATTGGTTAATAATAAATTGTTTTTTTTTTTAATTTAACTAGATTAAGTGATTTTATATTTTTATTGGTTTGTATGATTATGTAACGTAGATTTGTAACTTTTCTCGGTTTTCTGTCTTCCCGAATTTTCCGATAGGATATGAAGCAGCACTTCAGAGCTTTACATCAACGAATCACTAAGTTGAAGCAATCTCAACTTAATCTTAATCCGAAGCATAATGACTCTGCAAAGAGTGGTGTTAGAGACAGCAAAATTTTGATTCAGTGCAACAAGCAAATCGCGGAGAATGGACGAAATGGCAATGTTAATGAGGCAGAATCGATATTCCACAAGATGCCCGTAAAGAACACTGCCTCTTGGACTGCCATGCTCACTGTCTATGCCCAAAATGGCCAAATAAAAAATGCTCGTAAAGTGTTCGACCAAATGCCTCAACGAACCACGGTCTCATATAACGCTATGATCTCGGCTTATATCCGCAATGGTTGCAATGTGGACAAAGCTTATGAGCTGTTTTCAGTGTTGGCCGAACGCAACTTGGTGTCATATGCTGCCATGATCACGGGTTTTGTAAAGGCAGGGAAGTTCCACATGGCTGAGGAACTTTACCGTGAGGCCCCACATGAGTTCCGGGACCCTGCTTGCTCAAATGCGTTGATAAATGGATATTTGAAGATAGGTGAAGTGAATGAGGCGTTGCATGTTTTTGAGAATATGGCTAAGAGGGATGTGGTTTCTTGGAGTGCCATGGTTGATGGTTTGTGCAGGGATGGGAGGGTTGCTGCTGCTAGGGAGCTGTTTGACAGGATGCCTGAGAGGAACGTGGTTTCTTGGAGTGCAATGATAGATGGGTATATGGGGGAGGGTTTCTTTCAGGAAGGATTTTCCTTGTTTATGGATATGAGAAAGGAAGGTCAAGTTGAAGTTAATTCCACCACAGTGACTATAATGTTTAAAGCTTGTGGAAATTATTGTAGGATGCCAGAGGGCATGCAGATACATGGGTTGGTTTCACGCTTGGGATTTGAATTGGACAGTGTTTTGAGTAATTCTGTGATTACTATGTATTGCATGCTTGGTTGCGTAGACATGGCTGACAAAGTATTTTGTATTGTTAGCAACAAAGATATAGTTACTTGGAATTCTTTAATTTCTGGATATGTTCATAACAATGAAGTTGAAGCTGCGTATAGGGTTTTTGAGAGGATGCCAGAGAAAAACTTGATCTCTTGGACAGCAATGATCACAGGGTTTACTAAGAGTGAAAGAATTGGAAAAGCCATAGAACTTTTTAACATGTTGGCAGTGAAGGATGATTTTGTTTGGACGACTATTATATCTGGGTTTGTAAATAATAAGGAGTATGAGGAAGCTTTGCATTGGTATGATCGGATGATTTGGGAAGGATGCAAACCAAATCCTTTGACTATTAGTAGTGTTCTTGCAGCTTCAGCTGCTTTGGTGGCGCTAAATGAAGGGCTTCAGATTCATACCTATATTCTGAAAATGAACCTAGAGTATAATTTGTCTATACAAAACTCTCTTATATCATTTTACTCCAAGTGTGGGAATGTGATCGATGCCCACAAGATTTTCTTAGATGTCATTGAACCAAATGTCATCTCTTACAACTCAATCATCAATGGGTTTGGACAAAATGGTTTTGGTGAAGAGGCTCTCAGTATCTATAAAAAAATGCAGAGTGAAGGCCATGAACCCAACCATGTTACATTCCTTGTTGTGCTTTCAGCCTGTACTCATGCAGGATTAGTTGAAGAGGGATGGAACTTATTTAACTCCATGAAATCATGTTATGGAATTGAGCCAGAAGCTGATCATTATGCTTGCATTGTCGATTTACTTGGGCGTGCAGGTTTGCTAGATGAAGCTATTGATTTAATTCGTTCAATGCCATTTAAGCCCCATTCTGGGGTTTGGGGGGCTATTCTTGGTGCAAGCAATACGTACCTCCGTCTTGACCTTGCCAAGCTTGCAGCTCAACACATTACTGAGCTGGAGCCTAAAAATGCAACTCCTTATGTGGTATTATCTAACATGTATTCTGCTTCCGGGGAAAAGATTGATGGTGACTTCTTAAGAAAGACCAAAAATTTAAAAGGAATAAAAAAAAGTCCAGGTTGTAGTTGGATTACAATGAAAGATAAGGTTCATCTGTTTCTTGCAGGGGATTAATCACATGGTAATATTAAAGAGATGAAAGCCACAATAATGACTATGGATAGGGAGATGCAGTGGTTGTATCATTGTGTGCTGACTGGGTCTTTTTTTCTTGCTCTTTTACAAATATAACTTCTCAGTAGCTGCAGTGTCATCATTGTGTAAGCGAGCAGGTTTCTTTTTCATCTAAGATTCTTGGATGCACCTGGTATAATGATGTCTAAGAAAAGGATCATTATCGTACTCCACACCGTACTTAATGTGTGCCACTTAAGCATTATGGATCATCATTGCCTCAGACCTCAACTACTATATAGATTAGCACTAACCATGTAAGTGTTATTACAAAATTAAAAATCTTAGTCTCTCCTAGCTGATAACTTGTGAATATGGCACCAGACAAAGATCAGATTGTCAAAGAATATATCCTATTCTATCATCAATTATTCTTATTTTCTGGTTCTTTAATAATCTAACTAGTGCTTGGTTGTGAGCCTCAATTTCAACCTGATGCAGTATTATGCTGTTCTCTATTTAAAGCACTATCTAACTCTCCTTTTTCTTTAGCTTTGATTTTTTCAGATTCAGTTTCTGAGTTGGATTTTGTTTTCCTTCAATTTCTCACTTCCATTTTCTTCTTAATAAGGATCCTAGTTTCTTAGCTTCATTTCCTAGTACTATATGTATTTGATTGATCATTGAGCTATAGCCTAGCTGTTGATACTAAACCTGATGTTTTTATTCCCATTCGATTATTTTAATAATTTTTTGCCTCCAAGTTGAGCATCAATCTCTATAATGAATTTAACATTTATAATTAAGTGTAAAAACTAAATTGTTCCATAGGAGCAATTTTAGTAATTTGACTACAAAGATGTATTCATGTTTTGTGCTGACTTGTGAGTTGGTCAAAGTTTAAACATGTTTTTGGTTAGGGAATATCTCATCAGTGATTCTGTCTGGTTTTTATTTTGTCATAAAATATTGTGTGTGACACATGAAATATACATCATCTGACATATATTCTGTTTATTTATTCTTCTTTTGGAAGGGGGAAGAGAAATTTGTAACTGAAATAGCTTTATTGTTTGGCATCTAGGGTTTTCCTGTGGCAAGAATTGCACCCTTGGCATCTTGAATCTGACTATTTCACTATCTGATAATGATTTGCTTTGGGGATTTGAAAATTCCTTATTTTGACCAAAAAAACCTAAATCCACATTTTATTAGAAGATGAACATTGTGTGTTTGGGTTTTGTGTATGGTTTAAAATTTTATTAAAAAAAGTACATGCAGAGGTAGTAGATAATCCAGGAAGGTGATATTCTAGGATGTGTTTGGAATTGTTAAAATTGAAGAACTTCCTGGCTGTTGGAGTACTGTTGATACCCAGGGCATGTTTCAAATAGGTAGTGGGGACTGTACATGTTTAATTTTTTATAATTTGTCAAAATTTATTTGAGTGTTGTGTATGTTATTGTTTACTCATTTGATTACATATGAAAAAAAAGTGTGAAGCTTAATCCGAGTAGATTCTCGTTTAATTTTACCTTTACAAGTTCTCTTCGATCTTGTTTTCAGCCTTTCCAATAATTCATTTATATATAGATGTATATAGGTATGCATGTCCCTATGGAGAATGTCTTTGGTGTGTTTTATCAATCTAGTTATGCTCACCTTCATGATAACAAAGGTTTTTCTTTCCTTGACAAAACTTTTTGTTGTTTCCCTAACGTGTAATTTTAACCCTCTAGTCATTATAAGACGAGGACACTGGTTTGCCATGCTATGTACTTTTTATAACTAGGATAACTTTTAGAGTACCCAGTCAGTTCGTACGTAGTTGAATAATATTGGCAATTTTAAATTGCATCTACTTTTACGGATATCAGTTTTTCTTGAACTGACAAAACAACTGTTTTAATTGAAGCTAAGCTTCATTTATGCCATGGTCTTTCTGTGGTTACTAGTTTTGGCAGCTACTAAATACTGTAATAACTATATGCAGGTGCGACTTTTAAAGATAGCCAATTAGGGTATACTTTTAATTCTCTGGAATGGGATTCATTCTAGTGATGCTGAGGAAAAGATAAATAATCCATAAGGTCATGATGCCAGTGAGAACTAGATGAGAAATGGCAATACTACATTGGAACCAAGGTCTCTTCTTTTCTACTTCCACCCTCACCCCCCAGAGCCCTGAAAGAAATCAGATAAGATAACCTTATATACTGAACTGATAATTTATTCTATTCCATTGTTACTTACATTATATGCTTTGATTCAATGCAGGAACATACTATTCTGTAATCTGTTAAACCAAATCTGTGGTGGCTTGTTATTATTACTACTATTGTTTTTTATGGAGGAACAGGTTTGGAAGTTGATGAAGAATTTATTGGTATTGTTCCTGTAGATTGGGTACAGCTTGGAAGACTTTGAGTGGGTAGGACAACTAGTTTTTTCTTAAAGCTAGAACTAGCAGATTGGTTATCTGTCTTGCAAGTTAGGTTATTGTATAAGGCCCTGCCCTATCTTCACGTGTTCTAGGATGCTGTATAGGTCACTGCTTTAGCTTACAAAAAATGCTTAATTCAACGCCTTCTGGAGTTCACTTTGAAGTTTTGTCAGTGACATTAACCCCAATATGGAAGACATTACTTGCTTCTTCAATGTCTGTATTGATTTGGATTTAGAGATTTGCACCTAAACTAGGTATTTTATTTTCATACTTCAATTTGCATGAATGGATCATATAATTTTTCCCATACTATCTTTTTTGGAGATGTTGGGTTTGCTTTTTGATTGAGATTGAGAGTCATCAATGCAGAAATACTGTACTGGAAATCAGAAGATAGAGCTTAAGCTCCTTACACCATTCAAGAGCATAAGTTCCCAAGAAAAAAGAGTGTTTACTCTCTAATAACAAACAAAATGTCTTTATTCGCTGCTTTCCCTGAATGCCTTTCTGCCTCTCCTAACATCCCTGACAGCTCAGCATCCCCCTATTCCTTCCCCTTTCTAATTCCTTTTTCCCTATGAGCATACACCTGCCAACCCTTGGGCAGTGTAGAATACGAGTCCACATCCTTGTCCAGTATTCTATCACTTCCTACCCCAAAAGGAATTTCCTCGTCCTCAGGGATGAGGTGAGGAAATTGGCTGTGTAAATGGGTTTAATCCTCCCATATAGCACTCTTCACCGGTAGTCCTTTCCACTGCACCAAAAATTAAGTTATCTGGCAGCCATTCTGCATAACTATGCTGAGTAGCCAGAACCTTCTTAGGTTCAACAACATCAACATGTTCTACTTCCTTATCATTCGGTTATTTTTCTCTTCTGCAGTGTACTCCCCAATAGCCTTCAACTGTGACACGTAGATGATGGATGCAACTGTAGCTTATAGGCCCAGTCACCCAACTTTTCTAACACCTGAAAAGGGTCATAGAACATCCGCTAAGCTTTGTACTCATCACTGATTGTTGTCCCTGTGGTTGTAATTTAGGGAAAAACCCAATCCCCAAAGTTAAAATACTGCATCCTTCTTCCTTCACCAACATATCTTTGCATCTGTTCTTGTGCCTTGGCTAAATTGTACTTCAATTGCAGCAAAACCTTGCCACGACCCCTGGGTTTTTTCTACCATACACCAACTGAAATTGAGTCTTGCTGTCTTAATTTGGAAAACAGTATTATGTTTCTAACCTACCAACTTTTAAGGTTGTTCAGAAATAAAACATCATAGATATGTTTACAAGCACCACCTGTTTGTAAATTCAAACGTGCAACGTAAAAAAAAAAAAACTAAAAAAATGCGTTTTAGGCCATTGAAGTTATATTGTGATAATTTTGTTGCAATATTTATGACTAAGAATAACGAGTAAAAATCAAAGTAAACACATTGACATTGAACATCTAATCATAAAAAAGAAAGAAAAATAAAATGATCACTAAGTATGTTAGCACTAATTGATGATTGCTAATCCTTTAATTAAAAAGATACCGAAATTTTTTTTTAAGGAACTTGTAACATATATGAGACTTGGTTCCATGATGTGACAATCATTGTAAATACCTTTATTTTAAAACTCTTATTCAATTTAATGTTTTCTTGTTTATTTCGTATACATATGGTTTATTTTGAGAAAATTATTTAATTGTGTTAGAATGAACATAGCTATATTAACTAGATTTGAAAAACTTATGATGAGAGACTTAATATATTGTGATACATAGATATGAGAGGCATCTTATGTCATAGGCATTGTAAATACCTTTATTTTAAAATTCTTATTCAATTTAATGTTTTCTCTTTTATTTTGTGTACATATTTGTTTATTTTGAGAAAACTCATTTAATTGTGACAGAATAAACTATACACTTGAGTTCAAGAGTTGATGACGAGAGATTTAATTTACTTTGATGCATAAATATAAGAGAGGCATTTTATGTCATATACATCAAAATTCATAGAGAAAGATTTCAAGGTATTTTAGGTTTATCTCAAGATACAAATACTAACAGTGAAAAATAATTTTGTATAGGAACCCAAAAAATATTTTGTATATTTTAGTTGTTGGAAGTCTTATGGATGTCTAATAACCTTATATCATATGATTATTTTCTAATTTAGTGTGTCTATTTGAAGATGGCATGTGAATTCCGTGACATTTTTTTTCTTATTATTATTTATATAAGAGTAGCAGGTAAAAAAAAATTACATATATGTAAAAGTAATTTACATCATTATATATATATATATATATATATATATATATATATATATATATATATATATAAGATATACAAAAGAAGAAGCAATTTTATTTTTGATTCCTTCTATTTTTTTCTACAATTATACAAATATCTACATTACCGGTGGAAACAAACTGATTAAGGGGTTTTGGTAAAAGGTAGAAGGCATACAAAAGATAACCACTACTTGGTCCATCTAACATAATGGGATTTCTCATATCGGATGCAAATGTTATTATTGATAATCCTGTCCCTTTAA